AAGGTCTGTAGGCAATATATGTAAGTAAAGACAAGCCCTACAATTCTAAAATAACAAAGCTTATGTCTTAAGTTACATTTTTCAAAGGTTCATGTTTTTCTGAGTAAATGTGCTTTATCAGCATGAAATATTATACCTTTTACTTAAATTATTTTGTGTAGAATAGGGCACTGTTTAATTATGAAAGGTGGGAAAAAAGCATTCCAAATAAAAGTTTAATTTTTGTTAATTATAAAAAGCCCTGTATTAGTTTCCTATATGTGCTATAACAAATTACTATAAACTGGGTGGCTTTAAACAACAGGAATTTATTCTCTTAACAGTTTCAGAGACTAAACGTCCAGAATAAAGATGTCCCAGGGTCATGCTTCCTCCATAGGCCCTAGGAAAGAATACTTCCTAGCCTCTTCCTGGCTTTTGGTGGTTGCCAGCAATCCTTGCTGTTCCTTAGCCTAAAGTGGCTTGACTCCAATCTCAGTTTTGTTGTCAAGTGGTCTTCTACTCTGTCTTCTATGTTTACATCAGTGTCCAAATTTCCCTCTTTTTATAAGGAGACCAGCATTGGATTAGAGTTCACCATGATCCAATATGACCTCATCTTGACTACATCTGCAAAGACCCTGTCTCCAAATAAGGTCACATTTACAGGGACCAGGTGTTAGGATTTGACTTATCTTTTGGGGTACACAATTCTACCCACTACAGGCCCATATCTAGGCTGTTGGTGGCAAGAAGGCAAATATTACCTAGTTTCTGAGATACTTTAAAATTTGATTTTAAAAAAATTAAGCTTTTTTCTCATTTTAATGTATCCTTTTCTCTCAGCATTGTGTTGGTATATTTAGGTTCTTTTTTTGTTAAAACTTCAGTAGATATTAAAGTTACTTGTATTGGAACATAAAATTAGGGAAGTAAAATACTTAAATAAATGTATCAGAAAATATATGTCTGCTGAAATATAGAATTTCCTCACATTTAACTTCTTTAATAACTTATAGTCATCATAAAGCAAGCTTATTCTTAAGAGAAGAACCATTCTTCATTCTGATTCTCCATAGATTGGTGCTGTTGACATTATAGCATTTGAAAATGCTCAGAATGGAAAAACCAAAAATGAGAAAAGAAAGCAGTTCTGCTGAATAAATGCCTTTTGGGAGATGAATTAACAACGATGAAATCCACCATTGACTGGCAGTTATAAAGCAAAGTGACATATGACTTCACTTTATACACAGGAAACGTCACAGAAATTATGTAGATAAAAGGCAGGAATTGTCTATCAAGCCCTGAGAAAGTATACAGACAACAGGTATAAAATGAGATTTAAAAAAAGAAAGAAAAGAAAATGGCAGGGATTTGAATTAAGGGCAGCAAAGGCATATAGTAGTCATTAAACTTTGATTCCAGTTAGCCTACAGTTTCCTGTCTCATTGCCAGACACATAGTGATAATAATGTGAAGAAGAGAAGCAGTGACAAAATCAAAAGGTGGTCATTGACAGAATCAATGGAAACAGTAGGAAATTGGACTAAGGGTAAACATTGCCACTGCCACTGTTAATTGTGGGACTTTGGATGAGTTAGTCAACCTTCGTTAGGTCTCAGTGTTTTTATGTGTAAAATTGAAATGTTATTCCATCTACTCCATCTCTTACAATTTGAGCAAACAGTTGTCAAGCAGTAGCTAATGATAATGCTTGATTCAGCTTTCTCATTTTCTGCCTCATTTCCCTTGTTTCTCAGTCTTTTTGACATTCCCTGCTCTAAAATAGTAATAATATATAGGCTTTTGTTTCAGGCTTTACTTTCTGAGGAAGCCAGGCTTAGATATAATTTTTTAAATGTAAACTTTCTAAATTACCAAATGAACACTCACTAAACAAAACAAGGAAATTGCAGATCATTTAGTGAAACACTTACTAAAGCAACAAAAAATGCTAACTTAAAACACAATCACATGACAAAATCTGTATGTCCTATCAGCAAATTTAAATGGTCTAAAAATCTCACAAATTGGATTTAAAAAAGAAATACATGCTGTATTTAAAGCTACTCAGCAATATTGGAAAATAAAAAGTAGAAAAAGACATACCAGGCTAATAAAATGAAGACAGAAGTCACGATGTTAGCATTGGATAAAGTTCAACACATTACAAATAAGGAAAAGGAGAAGAACATGTTATAATGGTCAAGAATGCAATCCTTAGTAAAGATCTAATCATTTTGATTATGCATCAGGTAACATAGTATTCAAACTTATTGAGAGAAACCTTTGGGAATTACATGAAACAACACATCAGTATAAGGAGTCTTTAACTCATACTTCTCAACCTATTAGAATGCAAGTAGACAAAAGATGAATATATGGAAAATATACATGCTACAATTACTAATACAGATAGTGATACCAAATTTTGTAGGCTGAAAACAAAAAATCCAACTTGTATTCTAGTGTCCATGGAATATTCATAAAATAACTATATTAGACCACAAGGAAAAATTTCCAAAGTAAAAATACAGGCAGCTTCTCTGATAACAATAAACTAAACTGGAAAATAAACTTGGTGAGATGGGATGAAAGCCTTACATTTAATTTTTTTTTCTTAAGAACGTATTAGATAAAAGAGGAAATCAAATCTGAAATTATATAATATTTTTAAAATAGAGTCAATAAAACACTACATATCAGATCTATAGATCTGGATAAAGCTGTGAATAGAGAAAAATTAATCACCTTAAAAATGTATGCTAATATAAGAGAATGACTGAATATAAACAAAGTAAGAAGATTTGACCCAAGGTGTTAGAACAATAATAAACCTAAAGATATAAAAAGTGGAACTTAATAAGAAATGAAAAGAGATACAAAAATAGGAAAATTGTTGGACATAAGAATAAATCCAAGATCGTTTTTCTGAAAATGGTAGCAAAATGTGAAGTCATTAGCTAACTGAATCGAGAAAAAGATTACAAATACATAAAAATGAGAATTGCAGAATAAATTTGATGAATTAGGAGATAAATCTCTGAATTCTATGAAATGTAGAAACCTGGATGAAATGGATAATTTTCTAGGAAAATATAAACTTCCAAAATTGACCCTCCTCTCCAAAAATACCAAAAATATAAATAGACCAGTTACCACAGGAGAAATAAAATTGTCAAAGAGCTACAACCCCCCAAAACACAAAAACTATGTGGTCTGATAGATGAATTTTAGAAAAATGATAAGGAAAAAGAATTGTCAATGCTATTATAATTTCTTCATAACAAAAGGAAGAGAGCACTTTATTAATTTGATGAGTTGAGCATAATCTTGATATTTATCAGTAGCACCTAGTGCTTAAGCACGTAGATTCTAGCCATACTTTGAGCCAGTCACGAAATCTTTGTGTCAGAAGCTAATTTATCTTGCCATAGAACATAGCTGTAGTTGGAATATAATTCCTACTCAAGTTTTTAATCAGCTTCTCTTTCAGCTATACTAATTCTCAATGATGGAAGATAACTAGAAGTGATGTTTACCATTTCAAGGCCAAAACTTTAAGCAGATATATCCTCCTTGTGGAAGGCATAATAGTGTCCCCTCAAAGATCCTAATTCCCAGAACCTTTGAATTTGTTAAGTTAGCTGGTAAGGGGGAATTTAAGGTCGCAGGTAGAATTAAATTGCTAATCAGCTGACCTTAAATGAAGGAGATTTTCTTGAATAAGCTGGATAACAGGCCCAATGCAATGAAAAAGGTCCAAAATTAAAAGATGGAGGCAGAAGAGATAGTAGTAGAGTGATTTGTTACAAGAACAACTTGACTGGGCATTGCTGACTTTGAAGTTGGAAGAGAGCCAAGGTGTGTAGATAGCCTCTAGAAAATGGAACAGGTAAGGAAACAAATAGTCCCCTAGAGCTTAGGAAAGGAATGCAGTTTTGCCCCACCTTAATTTTAGCCCACTAAGATCCATTTCAGACCTCTGCCTACAGAATTATGCGAGATTACATTTGTGTTGCATGAAGTCACTAAGTTTGTGATAATTTGTTACATCAGCAATAACAAATTAATACTTTACTCTCATTTTCTTTTGCCAGCATGGTACGGTTGACAGTGGAGCCCTAGGTGTTGGTTCAGCCACCAGATGGAAGGATCCTGGGCCTCTAAATCACCAAGTAAAGCAAAGTCATCTTTGAAACACACACTTTGGACATTTATGTGAGAAATAATTGTGTTTGAATGATGGCATTTGTTACAGCTTATCCCATCACAATGAGTTCAAATCTGTGCCTCAGCTTTCTTATTTTGAATAATGAGAAAAATAAGAGTAGTTACCTCAAACAGTCTTTGTGAAAATTAAGTAAGTTATTATATCTAAAGTGTTTAGAATGATTCCTGACACACAGTAAATATGTTATTAAAATTTAATGTACACATAGACATGCATACACATGAACACACCACACACTGAATTCATATGGTGTCTCTGATGAACATCAGTGCAAACATTCTAAATAAATGATTGGCTTATTGGTAGATAGACTGCAGCAGCACACTCAAAGAATGATATCTGTGACCCAAGAGTGGTTTCTTTTAAAAATACAAAATTTCAGTATTATGAAATGTTAATGTCCACCATTAGCATTGACTGAAAACTAGCTTCTTTCTGGCTCACGAGTTAGAAACAATTTGTATATGTTTTCTTTTTGAAGGGGAGGGGAGCATTTTTCATAATAGTTCAACAACAGTGAGACACTGGATGGTAAAAATCAGCTCACATGTTAAAATTCTGTTGTTGGTATTTATTTATTTATTTTGTGGTGGTGTTTGTGTTTTATTTTTTGTTCTTTGTTCCCCACCCCCCAACAGAGTTTGGGGTAGGTGTCAAACTGTAACTGCCTAATTCTGATTATGGATTATTTTTCTAGTATCAGGGCTTTATGCTCAGGTACTAACAGTGCAAGACTGAAAACATAGTATGTAAATAAACATACTTCTTTTACACATCTTATTAGCTACAAATGGAAATATCATCTCCAGTAATATTTATTTGTAGCATTATATACAGATGTTTTTAGATTTACATGTGCCACCATAAGAGGACCACTTGATTCCTCAATACCAAAACTATTTATTTGAAAAATAATTCAGTGATGTAAATGTGAAGCTCATATTCAGGAAAGAATTCACTTAGTCTAGAACTTCTACCTTCGATATGTTGAAGGATAAAATGCTCTTTGGGGACAGAGGTTGTATTCTTGTATACTCCTTGTTGACGCTGGTTTTGCTGATCCACTCTCCTGAGTGTTAGGCCTGGGAGGAGACTTTGGTTTGCTGAAATATTCTGCAACAGGTATTTTCATAATACTTCTTCTTATAAACAATGGAGGCTTGTGCTCAGTCTCTGAAATAGAGAAAAAATCTAAATAAGGCCATAATTGAGACACTGAACACAGCTTCTCCATGTTTTAGTAGTAAATGATCTACAAGAAACTATATGAAGTTTAGGTGAATTAGATACACCCAGAATTCATAAAAGAATATATTTCAGCCAGGCATGGTGGCTCACGCCTGTAATCTCAGCACTTTGGGGGGCCAAGTGAGTGGGTCACAAGGTCAGGAGATCGAGACCATCCTGGCCAACATGGTGAAATTGTGTCCCTACTAATAATACAAAAGTTAGCTGGGCATAGTAACGTGCACGTGTAGTCCCAGCTACTCAGGAGGCTGAGGCAGAAGAATCACTTGAACCCAGGAGGCAGAGGTTGCAGTGAGCCTACATCGTGCTACTGCACTCCAGCCTGGCAATAGAGCGAGACTCCGTCTCAAAAAAAAAGAAAAAATAATTTCTTTCTTTCTCTCTTTCTTTCTTTCTTTCTTTCTTCTTTCTTTCTTTCTTTCTTTCTTTCTTTCTTTCTTTCTTTCTTTCTTTCTTCTTTCTTTCTCTTTCTTTCTTTCTTTCTTTCTTTCTTTCTTTCTTTCTTTCTTTCTTTCTTTCTTTCTTTCTTTCCACATGCTTATATTTAATGAGTTATTTGTTCTGTAACATGCAGGATATGTTCTTCACTCTCAAAAGTAAAAATGATTTTGATTGGAATGATATAGAGTTGGTTATGTTTAAGAGTGATGGGTGAGGATGGGGCAGTGAGAGAAAGAAGGAAGACCTATGGTCCTAATAGATACCACAAGAGAAGAGACAAGCAGGCTAAAACAAGTTAATTGTGCTCATAAGACCTACATAGTTGCACCCAAGCAGGAGCAGGGATGTGAGGAGGTGCTGAATATCAACATGAAGAGAAAGGGGCATGACTTGGGAATTCTTATACAAAAAGTTCCAAGTATCTAAGTGATAAAATACGTGTGGGCCTCACAGGTAAGAAATAAAGTTGAATAATAAAGACCATCACTGTCATGATGTTACAGTCCCAGGATGAGGGGTTTGGTAGGAGAGGCCATATACAATAGATTGTCCTTGAAGTCTGAGTAAGGGAGTACTTTGCATTTTTAAACTATATTTATTATTGGCTATTAGCAGATGGTGCCTCTTTTGGGTTTGGTTAATCACAATGGAACTTGCTGGGGTCTAGGGTGACCTTAATGAGCCCTGATTGATTATATATCATATATCATTCCTGATATAAAGGGAACTTGTAGAAATAACAAGACAGATTTTTGTATAAAGCTTGTAGATATGCTTCATAGTTGTTGCTCTGTAGTCATGAATGCTTGAAAGCTAGAAGCTGCCAAACCTACAAGGATTCTTTGTTTGGGCTATTTTTAACCTAAGCAGGACTTTCCACAATTCTTGATTCTCCCTGGTGCCCCTATAGACTGGAGCTGGGCTTCTGGTAGGACACAAAACTGCTCTTTTCTATTGTATTTTCAGCTGTCTCGTAGCTACTTGCTTGTGGCTGACTGCCATTTTACCCCTCTCTCTGGTTGATTTTCTTTCCAGTGAAATTATTTAGCTCCATTAAGCTGTGAAGAACCAAAACTCTGAGATCGTTGTCCTTTTGTTAGGTCAATACAGGGTTTCCTTTTTCACTGAATTGCTAAAACCAAATCTATAGTTCCTGTTGTCCTGCTGTCTTGCTTCTCAAAGAGTGTCTGTCCCTGATCAGACACTTTGCCTTTCAAAACAAAGGTAAATTTATCTTTATGAGAAAGTCAGCAGATGCTCTCTCAAGAATTGATCTGGAAATTAGTATTGTATTTTTCTGTTTTTTAAAGGCACTGATCCTTAAAATCCATTCCCTAAGTCGTTAGTACTTACCAGTTTCTTAATACCAACTCAGTAATTACCAAAAACTGTACTTAACCTTTTGGTACTTCCTTGTTTTCTTCAGATCCTTGACTTGGCACTCTATATCAGTTGGAGAAAGAAAAAAGTGAATTTCACAGAAAAAAGTATTTTCTGTAGACTACACTATCATCAGTAAGTTCAGTGTATATGTATCTTAAATATGCTACCCCAATTCTTTGTTTTTTTAATATACAGTATTAAATTTACTTCCCAATGAAAAATTCTTCTTACTTTGAGTAAATTTATATGTATAGTCATTAAGGTAGAGATTTCAGTTTCTGATTTTATGGACACTTTAAAATAGGGACAATTAGTAATACAATTTTTTTCTGTCTTAATATTATTTAAAGTGACATATTTGTATTTTCAAAATGTAATTTTTCTATACCTTTAAGCTTTATTCAACTTTTTAAAGCAACAAAATTTTCTCTGAGAGCTTAAATAACATCTTACCACACATTCTTTAACCATGATTCTACATAAATATATATTTTTCTTCTGTTATTGAAATTATAGCATTTAATAAAAATTTCTCCTGCAATAATTTCAGTCATTTTAGTAGTTATTTTTCTCTCTGGAAGCCCCAGGAGTAAATCAGAGAAATTTAAGTGAAGCAATTTATTTTAATTTTGCATTGCTCTACACAAAAAAGTGAAACCTGTGTGATATGCATTTAACAAAATATACAATAACTGTAGAAATACAATTTTGATTTCCTTAATTGTATCTACTTTAGTTAAACTCTAAAAACCTTTATCTTAGATTTCTAGGTAGCCATTCTTGCTTTTCTCTTACTGGAAAAATAATTTTCCTCAAAAAGAAAGCTTACCAGATAAGAAATACACAGTTTTTGCCAAAATGTTCTAAACAATAGAATTGAGAACAATTTTTATATTACATTTATGAAAATGAAAGCAAACACATATATATTACAGTCATTTACTGAATAAAGAGGAGCTTTAGAACTTCATGTTCAGCATTTTGAAACTTAAATAAGGAGAACTTCAAAGTCTTCATGTGTCATAGATCCTCCCTCTAGGGGGCCATTATATCTAATTACCTGGTGGGTTGATGCTCTTCTGTATCTCTGGTCAGCACTTTTGATTTTGCACGTAAATTTGGGGGCGATTTAACTATGGGTGGTGATTTAACTGTGGGTGGTTTCCCAGTCTCTGCCGCTGGTTCCATTGAGGTGTTTCTTCTGTGATGAGTCAATAGGTTTATCTCAGCGAGCTCAGAATGAATCAAAGCTGAGACCCACTCTTTTTCTGGTTTAAAAGACAAAAAAGGGTGGGAGGAGTGAAGGTTGCAATTATCGTGTTGGCTAGAAACACAGGATTATCCAGCTCCTGAGTGTGAAAGACTGGTCATCTATTTTCTGTGTAGTTGCCAATGTGGAAGTAAAGATTGTTGCAGAAAAGTTGGTTCACTTTCACCTAGTTTCTGTTGCCCTGTGATACTGTAGAGTGCCCAGATTAGTTAACTCACTGAGGTACTTGCCCCTGAATAGCAGTGGAATCATTTTAAAATATTGAGTACAGTAGCCAGTCTTACAAGCTGCTGCCAAAGATATAAGGATATCTATACAAAAATAAGAAATACAATATGATTCCATTAAAATACAGACTAATAGGTAATAAACAGTTAACAAGCGTATATAGGTAGAACACCAAAGTATTCACTGAAATGATGTCTGTGGTAATTTTATTGATAATTTCTTTTCTGTCTCATCTCTTTTTTTCTTTCTTGTTCATCTGTTCTTTCTCCCAACAATAAGTATTTATTACTCGTATAGTTTATTAAATGTCACATTCTTAAAAAGGAAAAATAATTAGAAGATAGCTAAAGACCCATTGCTCCTAAGCACTTCTCAATTGCCTAAAAATTAGTATTGAATTCCTGGGGCAAGGTAATATTTCCAAAATGCTTCCTACTTTAAATCATTAGACTGTTCCTCACACATTGGTACTTCCTAGCATTGATCAGTGCAATGATTCTCAGAGTGGTCCTGAGATCAGCATTATCAGCATCACCTGGGAACTTGTCAGAAATGCAAATTCCCAAGTCCCACCACAGAGATTTTGCCTTAGTCAGTCTGATAACCAGCTACATTTGAGGATAGCTGCTCTCTGCCATTTATCATTGTCTAGATTGGGAATGGCATGTGTTTTCATGGAACAGGCATGGAAGGGCCCAAAACAGGCTAAGAGATGACTGAGTTGATAGTTTTGCTTGGCAATTGGCAGAGTTGTTACTTGGATGGCTGTTCTGTTGTTCTTACCTAAGAAAATAAATAAGCTTTGTGTTCAGAGTTAACAACAGCCCAGAGGATGTGCTCAGCAAGGCCTCTGGTATGTGGACTCTGGAAGAACACAAACTAACTCTAGCTGAGAATAACACCTCCCTTAGACACAAGTGTTTCATGTCATACAAATAAGTTCAATTTAAGGCATACTGAATTTTGAATTCTTTGAATGACCCACATACATGCAGCTGGATATGCAGGACAGCAATTATTCTGATATTGAAACACTGGGAAAATAATTAATATTGCAACATTTTCTTTGCAAATACAAGGTACAAAACTTCAGGTATTGATTGACATATTCCCAATATCTGACAATAAATTGAGCTGTCTTTTAAAATGTGTATCTTAATCGCACCTTTTGAACTTGCATGAAGTAGCCACTGTAAAACTTCTGCCAGAGAATCAGTTTGTAAAATGTCACAGAGCTTTACCAGGATCTGATGGAGAACATTAGAGTTACATATGAGCAAATAAATAATACAAGGCTTATAAGGTTTTCTTTGCTTTCTCCAGAATCCCATCATCCCAAATATCACTCTGTATATGATATGCAATTAAGTCAATTGGGATTTTCAACTCAGGAGCTCAATTTCAAATAGTACACAGTAGAATCACAGTGAAAACAACATTTCCAGTACAATTAACACTTTAGGGTAGGCTATGGAGTGTGTGTGTCTTGTTTTGTCTGTTCAGAAGCAGCATCTTCTAGTAGGAATATACTTCTGGTGAATTTATGTTTCCCACTGTACCATAGGGTTCTAATGGGAATCTGTCAGTCACAGGACTGGCCCATCTTCCCTGCTCCTCTCCGTAGACAGAGAGAGGGCTATTGTACCTCAATTTCTTGAACACAGTGATTGGCCCAATGGAATAGGAATATAATTCCCGTTAGTTAATTAGAATCCTTCCTTGAGATTTTTTTAAACTCTGGAGCTATAGGCTTAAGTGTAGATGACAGTGGAGTTAGAAATATGAAATAATTAATTCTAATAAATATGGGCTATAATAAGCATTAAAAGTACAGTTTCCAGATTGAGTCTTAATTGTGTCTGCTGTTAGAATTTAAACACATCTGATATTCATATCTGTCTCCTGAACTTCAGTCCTATATATCCATCTGCCTATCAGATGCATTCACTTAGCTATACTATAGGTATTTTGGACATAAAATATGTAAAACAAACCCCACGTTTCTCTTGCTAAAACCTGCTCCAAACTTGCTTTTCCTCCTGGTTCCCCTGTCTCAATGAACAGCACCAACATACATTAAATTGTCCAAGCCACAGGCTGAGATTCACTCTGGACAACTCCCTTGCCCTTTTCTAAAACATAATGTCAAACAATAAGTTCAGTAAATTCTACCTTCTAAATATTTCTCAAATCACTCCGTTTGTCTGCATCCCTATTGCCTTGACTAAGGCTAAAGCAACATCAAATCTGGTTTGAACTACTACAACATTGATTCTTTTAGTATTTCTGCCTGAAGTCTTAAATTATTAATTGAACAAACATTTGTTGGTCATTGATCTATATGCTGGAGATAGAGAAGCAAAATTAAAGGGCTGAAAAATCAACTTCCCTGTATTGAACTTTGTTATTATGTTAAGATATCTGTCTTTGATAATGCCATATCCTAAAGAGAGAAAGTTAGATTTGCTCCTACTTTCACAACAAATCAAAAACTGTGGCAAAAATAGAAAAAGAGCTTCACGGTATTTTCTAAGCCATTCTGCCTCTATGGATTTTTCCATCAATATAGTGATTGCACATCACTCCTAGCTTCTAACTAATAGATCACTAATTGATCAACAACATCCTGGAGAATATAATTATCCTTTTAGCGAGAGGATGTAGAATATGTCTTCCTGGGAAACCACCCACATTCTCTGTTACAGAAACCTAAGCAGATGCACAATGAACACAGCAGCTTCCAGTCCCTTGAGATAAACATTTGTTTCTGTAGCTTGGGGCAGGGATAACTATGCCTGTAAACCAGGCTTCTGATTGTCAAAGATATTATAGCTTTTCCAAGGGTCACAAATTGAGTCTTGATCAGATCTGGAGGAATGGAAAATTATCCAATGAGTAGATTCTCTCTGTGATTCCACCTGTGGAAGTCTATTGTACTCAGTCTTTGGAAACCCTCAAAAAACTCTTCTTCAATGATCTCATGATTTCTAGGGGCAGAGAAACCTTAATTCCTCAAGGTAACCCCATGTTTCTTTTGCCATAGAAGTAACTGAAAAACTATGTCAGGTTCTCTGTATCATCTTGGTTGGCAAAAACTCAAAGCAGACTACCACAAAGGCTCTGGAATTGAAAACTCCTCTTCCAACTCTAGAGGATAGGTGCTCAGCATCAGAGATATCCACCATTGTCCAGCAAAGATTCTGGGGACTATTGCCTTGGTACCTACCATACAAGTTGTCCTGGCATCCTGTCTTTGCAGGAGTTTGCAAGTCTCATTCTAACAATCATATTTTCCAAAATAGTTCCTGACCTTGAGTGCCTGTTCTGAACGTATTTCATGAAGTGGCATAATGTATATAATTAATATCTTCCCTTCTTTATTGGCATTTTTCTATACTCACAAGTCTATGTTCTCTAAAGTGGCATAATATATATCTTCCCTTCTTTATTGGCATTATTCTATACTCACAAGTCTATGTGCTGTAAGGATGAGTGAAAATTTTAACAGATATGAAAATTCGTTAATCAAACTTGACATGAAATTTTTCAATTACTCCCCCTAGAGGGAAGCTACCTGGTCATTGGACCTATTCGATTAGAAATCAAAGTCAAGGATCCAGCCTCAGTTTTTCTGTGTTATGCCTTGAAAGGGAGTGTGCAAAGAACATGGTTTAGCACCTCTTTAACAATATATTTCCCCTCCCAAGTCATAAGGTCAGGTCTGGCAGGATTTAGTGACTCTGAATCTCTGTAAAGAGTAACAGGGGTAATAAATTGGTGGTAATAAAGCACATTACCAGAAGAAGCTACGTAAACCAGTCCTGGTATTAGAGATTTGAGTGGCAATGAACTGGATTGCTAAGAAACTGTCTCCTCTAGTCAAAGAAAACTGGTTTTGCCAGGTTCTGGAATAGGAGACTTCTATCCCTATGTTTGTCCAAACATTTTTTTTAATTGAAAACCTAGGAGTGAATTATCTGACAGTGTTTATTCATATTTACTCCTAAAAAGAGATGTTAAATTATTTGTTGGCTGATTATTTAACTTAGGAAATGACGGTGTTGCCATTTACTCTGCACATCGATATCAAAATAAATAATTGTAAATATTCACTAATTATCAACCCCAAATATTTAAAGAAGCTGAAGTAATGGCCCTTGTTAAAAAGTATTATCTAACTTGTCAATCCTTGTCTTTTTATTAGAGTTTTTACTCTATTTATCCCTTGGCGTAGTTTTGAGTGTACCATCTTGCTATTTTTTTTTTTAAGTTTTTTCTTCCTTTATCATTCCCCTTATTCTTTTCTCTGCCTCCTTTTGGATTAATCAAGCACATATTAGTATCTCACTTTGTCCTCTCCATTGGCTTTTTGTTGTTTGAGGGATATAAAATATGCATCCTTAATTTAACATAGTTTCCTTGAATTAATATTATACCACTTCATGTATAATGTAAGACCCTTATAAGTTATATTTCATTTATTTCTCACCTGAACTTTGTGTTACTGTTGTTTTTACATTTCACCCCTCTGTTTTCTTTTAACCACACTTATCTCCTTCTTACTTCTTCCTTTACTTCTGAATGACAGAACTATAAAATGTCAGCTTTTTAAATCTTTTAAGCACTTTAAAGTATCATTTCATTGTCTTATGGCTTGCATATTTCTAGTGAGAAGTCAGCTGTCATTTTTATCGTTACAGTCATGCACCATATAACAAAGTTTTAGTCAATAAGGGACCACATATACAATGGTGGTCAAGTAAGATTATCATACTGTATTTTTACTGTATCTTTTCCTGTTTAGATATACAAATACTTACCATTATGCTACAATGTCTACAGTATTCAGTATTAGTAAAATGCTATATAGGTTTATAGCCTAGGAGCAATAGGATATATAGCCTAAATGTGTAGTAGCTGTAACATCTAGGTCTGTGTAAGTACACTCTGTGATGTTCATACAACAATGAAACTGTCTGACACATTTCTCAGAATGTATCCCTGTCATTAAGTGATGCATGACTATATATGTAATATTTTTTTTTCTCATGCTGGTTTCAAGATATTCTCTTTGGTTTTCCACAACTTTATTATGATGTGCCCAGATATAGCATCTTCTGTGGGTATAACTTCTTGGGTATTTTAAGATTTCGTCAGATTTGGGAAAATGTTAGCTATTACTTCTTCAAATAATTTTTGTGTTCTAATCTCTCTCCTCTTGTTCTGAGACTCCAATCACACATATGTTAGACCACCCAATATATTTTCACAGGTCAATAAGGTTTTGTTTACATTTTTAAAAGTCTTTTTACTTTAATTTGGGCATTTTTTTATTGCTTTCTCTGTAACTCCCACTTACATATTTTTTTCTGTAGTGCCAAGTGTGCTGCTAATCACATCCGGTGAAATTTTGATTTCAGATATTGTAGTCACGCATTACTTAATGACAAAAACACATTTTGAGAATTGCTTCATGAATGATCCCATCATTGTGAAAACTTCATGTAATGTGCTTTCACAAACCTAGATGATACAGCCTACTACACACCTAGGCTATATGGTATAGCCTGTTTTTCCTGGGCTACAAACCTGTATAACATGTTACTGTAGACAACTGTAACACATTGGAAAGTATTTGTGTATATAATCATATCTAAACATAGAAAAGATATAGTAAAGATACCATATTATGCACTTATGTTACCACTGTCATATTTGTGATCTGTTATTGGTGGAAACATTGTTATTCACTGCAAAGCTGTATTAATTCTAAAATTTCCTTTTGGTCTATTTTTAATTCCCATTTCTCTTGAGAGATGCCTCATATATTCACTCATTATGAATTTTTTTTCTTAGAAATCCTTGAAAAATCTAAAAAAAAAAAATCTCATTTACAGCCCTTTCTACAACAATCTAAAGGCAGAAATACCATTTGTCCCATTACTGAGTATATACCTAGAGGATATAAAATAGTTCCTTGTTAAGCTTATTCAGTGACCATCTCTACAACATGCTCTGTTATTTGTAATTATAACTATAGATACTGATTAGTTAAAATTCCAATTAGAGTCATCATTACAATTTTTTGACCCTTAGTTCATTGTAGTGGGACTTATGGTGGATCAATATGGAGGTTACCAAGAAGAGATTAAAAGAAGGAAAAAATGGCAGGTGACAAATATGAGCTGACTTATGTATTCATGATTTTATATTATTCCCAGAAATAACTGGCTGGGGAGAGCCTTTCAGGAAGCTGATATGATATATTACTATTAATATAATTAAGTTTATAACCCCAGGCAGAGAAAGTTGGAAGACATAGTTTTCTAAAGAAAAGAGGAAGAGATGAATGTTGATTGGAGGAATCTATGCTTTAAAATATGAGAAGTAAATGTATAGATAGTGGCAAGATATTGTGAGTAGTGCCTCTCAAGTATTAGAAAGATGATAACGAAAGATGGAAAGAATAGAGCTGGATTTGTTTGATAAACACCAAGCTTTTCATTATGTCAAAGCCAAAGATTGTGTTTATCTAAGAGTAGCAAGATTCAAGGGGAAAGTAATACTGGAAATGAAAATAGGAGTATGCCTTGGACTTCAGGCTAAGCAGGCTTAAATCAATTCAGTTATTAGTAAGAGTTTTATGGATGCTAGTGGTATAAAATTTTTTTTGGTATATTCATGCTGTTTGCAAGTTACGGATTTGATAAATTTGACACTTACTTTTATTTCCTGATCCAGATAGTTTGGTATGCAAATGGTGTTTGCTTTCACATCATTCTTGGAACTCGTCATCCCTGAAGAACAGGAGCCAGGAGTAGAGCATGCTTTTGGAGGTGATGGTGGCCGTTTAGCCTTAATTTCTTCCTAAATCAAAGGTATAATATAACCGATACACATTTTCAGCCACTCATATTCTTTATGAAAATTCAATGTAAAATGAATGAAAAATATTGTGGTTAATAAGAGAGATCCATGAAAGTAAAAAAAGATTAGTTTTATCTTAAACTACTAAATATTTATATTTGGAGACAAAACAAATAGTGATACCTTATTAACTTTTGATGAAACCATTTTTAAACTCTTGGTTAAATAACAAGATAACAAAATTTTAATATGTAATGTATAACTCTTTATATTGCAGTTCCAGATAACAGCCAACTCATGCATGACACATGAGATTTGCTGTTAAGTTGGGAAGATTTCTCTTTTATGGCCAGGAAAAGACACCTGGGAGGTTTTATGCTTTGTCTGTGTAGCAACTACATGATGCAAATTGCTACTTCTTTGCTCTAAGTAACAACTGACAGCTGGAGAGTTAGAAAGGCAAACCAGGTGGCTCATGCCTATAATCCCAGCGCTTTGGGAGTCTGAGGCAGGCAGATCACGATGTCAGGACTTTGAGACCAGCCTGGCCAATATGGTGAAACCCCGTTCTACTAAAGATACACAGACTAGCCGGGCATAGTGACACGTGCCTGTAGACCCAGCTACTTGGGAGACTGAGGCAGAAGAATCGCTTAAACCTGGGGGCAGAGGTTGCAATGAGCCAAGAACACGCCACTGCACTCCAGCCTGTGCAACATTGTGAGACTTTGTCTCAAAAAAAAAAAAAAAAATAAGGCAAATTAAACTTTTTCTATCAGTTGGAAGGGAACTAGAAAGGTTATTTTCTTGTTCTCGTAGGTAAATATACTGTTTTCAGTTTTTTTAAATTTAAAAGTTATGGGAGCTTTAAGTGCATGAAGAGTTACAGAAGACTTAGATCTATGTACCTGTTCCAAGAAAGAGGTTTTACTCTTCAGAAGTGACTGATTTATGACAACACATAGAAGCTAGTGCCTAAATGAGTCAACAACCTGGGATTTTGATGACTGGAATTGATAGAACAATATTTAACTTTATGTTTAGTAAAAATAGGCTATATTGTATTTGAGGCATTCTTTTTTTAAGTTTATCATGCAGACGTATTTTTGGAAGAACAGCAACACAGTAAGTTCTTAATGTTGTTAACTCTTAGAAACTGACTTTAAGTGAGATAATGTATAACAAATCCAATTTTTTTTTTTTTGCATCAACTGATATGATTTGGGTCTGTGTCCCCTCCCAAATCTCACCTTGAATTGTGATCATCACCATGTGTCAAGGGCGGGACTGGTGGAGTAATTGTCATGGGGTCAGGTTTCCCCATACTGTTCTCATGATAGTGAGTTCTCATGAGATCTGATGGTTTTATAAGTGGCTTCCACCTTTATTTGGCTCTCACTTCTCTTGTCTGCTACCATGTAAGTCATGCCAGTTTTGCCTTCTGCCATGATTGTAAGTTTCCTGATGCCTCCCTAACCATGCAGAAATGTGAGGCAATTAAACTCTTCTTTATAAATTACCCAATCTTGAATATGTCACACAAATAATGTCCAGCAATTGAGTCATGAGTCAAAGAAGAATAGTAATGGGAATTACAAAATATACTGAACTCAGTGAAAATGTTATATGCAAAAATTGTGAAAACAGCTAAAACAATCTTCAGAGGGGAATTTATAGCTTTAAAATACATATATTAGAAAGATAAAATGAGTTAGAAAAAGAGCAATAAGATAAAGTATGTAATAGAGAAAACTAATAACAGCAGAAATTAATAAAATAGAATGGAAATATATAACAGAGAATCAAAAAATGAAAATCAATTCTTTGATATACTAATAAAATTAATAAACTTATTGAATAAACTTTTGTTGAAAATGATAAACTTCTTTTAATCAAGAAAAACAAAGACACAAATTAACAAAATTAACATGTAAAAGGGTACTTATTATAGAACCAGCAGATATTTTTAAAAGAATATAAGGATATTATACATAACTGTCAATAAATCTGAACATTTGGATTGAATAAACACTTTTTAGAAAAGAATATATTACCAAAAATTAATTCAAAGAGAAATAGAAAATCCAAACAGTTCTATAACAAAATAGATTTTAAAGCAAATTTCAGGTATGAAGAAAGTAACTTCATAATGATAAAAAGGTCATTATATCAAAAGGACATGACAAACCTAAACAGTTTTATGCTTAATAAGAGAGCTTCAAAATACGTGATTAAAAATTGGTAGAAATTGAAAGAGAAATTTTTTAAATCCACAATTATAATCAGAGATTTCAACACCCCTCCCTCAATAATGTTCAGAAAAAGTGGCAAATTGGCAAGGCTATAGAACGGGGGTCCCCAGACCTTTGGGCCACAACACACTGAGTTCTGCCTCCTGTCAGATCAGCAGTGGCATTCGATTCTCATAGGACTGCAAATCCTATTGTGAACTGTACATATAAGGAATGTAGGTTGTATGCTCCTTATGAGAATGGAACATCTGGTGATCTAAAATGAAACAGTTTCATCCTGAAACCATTCCCCCACACCACAGTAGGTATGTGAAAAAATAATCTTCCAAAAAAGGTCGTGAGCTGCTGCTATGGGTTGTGACTTGAGTAACAGTATCAAACAACTACACCTAATTGATATTTATACTACATTCTACCAGACAACAACAGAATGAATGTTTGTTTTGTGGATACATAAAAAATTTATTAAAGTCAACAATATTCTGGGCCATATAACAAATCTCAATAAATTTAAAACATTTCAAAGTATACAAAGTGTGTTCTCCAACTACAGTGGGATTAAATTGGAATCAATAACATAAAGATATCTGAAAAATCCCCCAAATATTTAGAAAGTAAATAACATGATTTTAAGTAACCCATGGGTGAAAGAAGAAATGAAAAAGGTTATTAGGAAGTATTTTGAACATAATGAAAATGAAAATTCAACATAGTAAAATTTGGGGGATGAAGCCAAAGTAATGCTTATAGGAAAAATGTAATAATACATGCTTATATTAGGGAAAATAGTCTCAAATCAATGACCTAAGGTTTTACCTTCTATGAAGATAGGAGCCAAAGCCAATGAACTAGAAACACAAAGCAAAACAATAGAGATACTCAATGAAATGAAACACTGATTCTTTACAATGATCAATAAAACTCACAAACCTCTAGCTAGACACATCAGTTAAAAAAAGAAGACATAAATTGCCAAAATCACATACAAAATTACAAAAGTAAAAAGAATATTTTATGAAAAACTTTATATCAGTAAATCAACAACTTAGATGAATGGACAAATTCTTGATGAAACACAAACTACCAAAACTGGCTAAAGAAGAGATAGACAAAGATGGCTGAAGAGAAACAACTCTGGAGTGCAGTTTCCAGCAAGAACACAGAGGGTGAGTGATCACTGCATTTCCAAATGAGTTTTTACTGCCCACAGACCAGGAGATTCCTGGACAGAAAAGCACCACAAGTCTCTAGCATGGCTGTTTCAGCTGGCGCAGTGGGTCTCTGCCAAAAACTCACACAAATCTGGGCAGCCATTTTAACTGGTGCCTGAAATGCCTGAGAGACAGAGTCTCCTATTCAACTGAAAAAAAAAAAGGGGGCTGAAATAGGGAGACAGGTGATCTGGCTCAGCAGGTCCCACCCCCACAAAGACCAGCAATCGGAAATACTTTGGATTGAGAATTTCACAGCAAGCAAAGCTGGACCAGAGACAGTCCAGCTACATTGAGGGGGAAGGGCATCTGCCATGACTGAGGGGGTCCACCACTACCAAGGCAGTCCACCAATACTGAGGCAGTCCACCATTACTGAGGCAGACCGCCATTACCAGGGCAGTTCTAACTATACCTCTATAAACAAAGCCGCAAGGAAGTTCACACAGCAGCTGGGCAGAGCCCACAGCAGCTCAGCAACCCCTCTGCTGGCAGACTGTGACTAGGCTACCTCCTCACTGGGCAGGGCATCTCTGAAAAAAGGCAGAAACATATCAGGCACTTATAAATAAAGCCCCGCCTTCCCAGGACAGAGCAGCTGAGAAAAAAAAAGGTGGTTATGAGTTCTGCTGCAGCAGACTTAAAAGTACCTGCCCGGCTGGGCGTGGCGGCTCACGCCTGTAATCCAAGCACTTTGGAGGCCAAGGCAGGAGGATCACCTCAGGTTGAGAGTTCAAGATCAGCCTGACCAACTTGGTGAAACTCCATCTTTAAAAATAAATAAATTAATTATTTTTTTTAAAAAAAGTACCTGCCCAGCAGCTCTGAACAGAACAACGGAGCTCACAGAGCAGCACTTGAGCTCCTATAAGGGACTGACTGTCTCCTTAAGCAGCTCCCCAATCCCCGTATATCCAAAGACACACCTCATTTAGGAGGGCTCAGGCTGATATCTGGTGGGTATCCTTCTGGGACAAAGATAACAGAAGAAGAAACTGGCAGCAACCCTTACTGTTCTGCAGCCACCGCAGGTGATCGCCAGGCAAGCAGGGTCTGGAGTGGAACTCCAGCAGTCCTGCAGCAGAGGGGTCTGACTGTTAGAAGGAAAACTAAAAAAGAAACAAATAGCTTCATCATCAACACAGAGGATGTCCGTGCAGAGACCCCATCCAAAAGTCATGAACTACAAAGACCACAAGTAGACAAAGCAAAGAAGATGGAAAGAAACCAGTGCAAAAAGAATGAAAACACCCAAATCCAGAATGCCTCTCCTCCAAGGGATCACAACTCCTCACCAGCAAGGGAACAAGGCTGGCTGGAGACTGAGTCTGATGAATTGACAGGAACAGGCTTCAGAAAGTGGGTAATAACAAACTTCTCTGAGTTAAAAGAACATATTCTAACACAATGAAAAGAAACTAAGAACCTTGAAAAAAGGTTTAACAAAATGTTAACTAGAATAAACAGCTTAGAGAAGAATATAAATGACTTAATGGAATTGAAAAACAAGACAAGAACTTCATGAAGCATACACAAG